TGAAGAGCTCACAGTGCCCCCACCACTGCCGCAGGGCATCACTGCAACAGCTAAGGGGAGTTCTGAGGGGAGAGGGCTCTGTGCCCCTGGTCGGTCCTGCCCACGCAGCCAGGGTAAGCAAGAAGTGACACAGGAATCCCGGAAAAGCCAGGGCAGAGGGAAGAGGCGCAGCTCGGCAGGGGAGGAGGTGGCTGTGGTTTTATTTGCAGCGCCCCGGAGTCACTGCTAACACACGCACTGTTTCCGACGCCTTGCCCCGCTCCCGGGGGGCTGCAGGAAGAGAACGATGGGGCTTCTGCATCCCAAACTGCTGGAGCTGGGCCAGCAATCACCACTGGACCCGGCCCACCGCGGTCAGAGCCCCGAGCCGGCATGAGGATGGGGTGAGGGGCTGTGCCCCCTCACCAGCCTGGCACGAGGAACCGAGCGGGGCTTTCCTGGTGCTGGGACGTGAACCCCCGCGTCAGGTGCTGCCCTGGAGCGCTGCCCAGGCTCTGCCACGCTTTGTCTGTCCGTCCTGCCTGTCTCCTTCCATCTGTCCCGTGGGCAGTGTGGCCAGGAGGAGCAGTACCCAGCCAGAGGCTGGCACAGGGCACTGCAGCCTACCCGGGATCTCCCCGGGACAGCTCAGTTCTGGGAAGGGTGGGGCCATGTCCCTGGCTTCTCTCCCCTGCTCCAAGACAGCCACAGCAATGCCCTCCTCTGCCAGGCACGCAGGGCTCCCACCATCCAAATCTGCCCTCTGGCTCACAGGCAATTCTTGCCCCTTCCCCTGTGCAGGAGGTTTCCCAGCAAGGGCCAGAGTCCAGGATCACAGGCTCAAAGTGCTCCCCCATCCCCAGTGTAGGCACTTCTCTGTGGCATCTGCATTGGCACACATTATCTTCAAGGCTCCTGTAGCATGGCAAGGGGGACCTATTCTTCTCTCCCACGCTCCAGACTGGGCTCTCAGGACTTGGCAGGTGCCCATCACCAGCTCATCTGGCCACAGAGTCGACAGGTAAAAAGCAATGTCATAGTCCAGCCAGTGTCACCTCCCTGCTGCCAGCTCTGCTGGGTGCTGGGGCAGGTCCCCGGGGTGCCCTGGCAGGGCAGCCATGTCCCTGTGGGGCCACCTGGTCCCATCTCATGGTCTCACCCTTAGGAGATGACACAGCAGCACTTTCTGCAGCAGGGGCAGCACTTGCAGCAGCTGCATCCCCTGCCAGCCCCCCGCTCCTGGCCCTTGAGTGTCTTGTCCAGGGTGACAGTGTAGAAGGAGCTGGATGATTCCCCATTGGGCATCTTCAGGCTTCCATAGGGGTTGTAAGGACGGGACCAGGACTTCTCCGTGGAAATGGCTGGGCTGTTCCAGCTGCCAGTGGGATCCAGCTGCTCCTGCAGCCGGTAGGTGGGCACGGCTGCAGGGTTGGCGATGACGGTGGGTTCGTCCTTCAGGTAGCGAGTGATGAAGCTTTGCTGGAACTGCTCCCGTGGGATGTTGACGCTGGCGTAGGGATTCTCCAGGGTAACACCACGATCCATCTTCCCTCCTGCTGTCAGCACGCGTGGCCCAGCTGGCATCGCCCACCTCCTGTGAGACAGAGACCCCGTTACCCCGGAGTGCAGGGGTGTCAGTGCTGGGGTTCTCACGGCAGACCCCACTGGTTTGGGCACAGGGTGCAGAGCTGTGCTCCCCCCTCCCTGCCAGCCCAGGGGACCCCAATATAAAACCCCTGCACTTTGCCAGAGACGGGAGGGGAGGCAGGAGAGGGGACACCTGGGCAGGGAGACATGCAGCTGGGCAGGGCAGCAAGGGGGTGCTGGGTGGGAGCAGTGTGCAGGTAGGGCAGCAGGGTGGGAGCTTCTGCAGGGAGATGGGCCTCAGAGAGGAGAAGCAGGCACTGGGGAGAGGAGAGGGGAGAAAGAGAGTGCGGGGGGAAGGAGAGGCAGAGGTGGGGGAAGGAGGGGACAGGACAGGGGCAGTAGAGAGAGAAGTCGAGGGGAGAAGGGAAAGGGCCAGGGGGGGCAGGGGAAGGGGAGCAGGCAGGGAAAGGGGCAGGCAGGGAAAGGGGCA